CCCGTTTCAGGGCGCTGGGCAGGGGCAGAAGGAAGGGATGCCCGTTTCAGGGCGCTGGGCAGGGGCAGAAGGAAGGGATGCCCGTTTCAGGGCGCAGGGCAGGGGCCGCAGGGCTTTGGGCAGGCATGGACTGAGGCAGCTGCCCGCATGAGCACCGTGGGGACCCCTGCCCGCCTCCAGCCCTTCAGCCTCCGTGGACAGTGCATGGGCCCTGGACACTTCCCAGCTGGTGGTCGTCCTCCTGGGCCCACTGGATCCCCCCATGGCCTGGCCCCGCTTCCACCCTGGAAACCACATCTCGGCCTCCTGTGCATCTCCCTGTGGGGTCCGTGGGACGGTGCCTCTGAGGGGCAGGGGCTACAGAACCAGCCAGGGCATGGGACCCAGGTGCCCAGCCGGCTGCCTAGATACTCACCCCTGAGGAGGTGCCCATGGTTCCAGGAGGCCCAGGGGGCCCAGGGGGGCCCGGAGGGCCGGGAACGCTGATAGCTGCAGGAGAGAAACCAAGGTGGGAACGGGAAGCCACACGAGGCGGCCTCTGCCCGGGGCCCACTCCCCACTGACTTACTCTGCCTGTGAGGGCCGGGAAATGAAGGGGGCCCTGGGGGGCCAGGGGGGCCTGGGGGGCCGGGAGGGCCCTGGCGCCCCTCGTAGCCGATGCCGGGGGGTCCCTGAGGTCCAGGTGGGCCAGGCTGGCCCCGGATGCTCTCTCCCTTGGGACCCTAGGGACGGCGACAAGAGACGCTTCCTGGTTACCTCGTGCCCTGGGCTGGGGGCAGGCAAGTTTGTGGGGCTGGGGCTGCATCGGGCTGGGGGCAGGCAAGCTTGTGGGGCTGGGGCTGCATCAGGCTGGGGGCGGGCAAACTTGTGGGGCTGGGGCTGCATCGGGCTGGGGGCGGGCAAGCTTGTGGGGCTGGGGCTGCATCGGGCTGGGGGCGGGCAAGCTTGTGGGGCTGGGGCTGCATCAGGCTGGGGGCGGGCAAACTTGTGGGGCTGGGGCTGCATCGGGCTGGGGGCGGGCAAGCTTGTGGGGCTGGGGCTGCATCGGGCTGGGGGCGGGCAAGCTTGTGGGGCTGGGGCTGCATCGGGCTGGGGGCGGGCAAGCTTGTGGGGCTGGGGCTGCATCGGGCTGGGGGCGGGCAAGCTTGTGGGGCTGGGGCTGTAGCTACCAAGACCCCCTTGATGAGCGCAACCTCTGAGTCACTGGTCCTCTCCCTGCCCACACCATAGCCTGAGAAACCCCCACACCATCACCCCTTCTTTCCTGAGGGTGCGATCCCGGGGCAGAGACCAGCTGTGACCAGAGAGACCAGCAGAGACCAGGGACCTGACAACAGCGTGGGCCCCAGGCAGGAGCTGGGCCCATGGCTCTCTGGAGTCTTTCAGGACTGATGGGCCTAAACCCCGATCTGACCCAGCCCAGGAGCAGAGGTGGATGCGCTTGGCCCTGGCAGGAGGGCAGGCCATGGAACACTGCAGGGGGACGGGGCGTGTCCGGGGCCAGGGCACCCACACCTGGGCGGCCTGCTGCATCCCCACACGGGGAAGGGCCGTGTCGGGACCGCTGAGCTTGCAGGGGCGGCTCCGGCCTTGGCGGGCGTCGGTGCCCTCAGCTCTGCACCCAGACCCCTGGGACATACGCTCTGCCTGCACAGGGTGGGACTTACTGGAATCCCAGGGTAGCCAGGTGGGCCTGGGGGACCGGGGGGGCCTGGCAGGCTGGAGCCAAAAAAGCCACCGCCCCCGGGCTCACCCCTTTCGCCTTTCTGTCCTGCATCACCTCGGTCTCCCTTCTCCCCCTGTGGATGGAAACACTTGTCAGACACGGGAGCCCCAAACCCCTACAAGCCACAGGTGACCTCCCATCCCTCCCGAGCCAGGGTACGGCGGTCAGAAGCTTCTGGAGCCTGGAGCCCAGGCCTGGGAGCTGCTGGCTGTGGAGAATAGGGCTCGACTCCCCACCTCCCACTGTATCAGCCAAGTCCCCAAAAACTGAGCTGGGGACAGGAACGTCCTGAGGGACGCCCTCGACGCCCTCTGGAGCCAGCGCTCCTCTCAGGGCTGAACAGGAAGGGGTCTTGGGCCGGATGGTGCAAGGAATTGGGAGCAGCCACCCAGGGGGATGTACAGGACCTTGGGGGCCCTCAACCTCACCAGGGAGGTCACCCACCTTCATTTCAGCCTCCAACTGAAGGAAGTCGAATGGAAACTGCCCTGCGAGAGACAGACAGGTGGGGTCTCGCTGAGGTGGCGTCTGACGGCGCCGGGCTCCCCCTGCAGCCCCCAGCACTGGTGGGTTTGCCTGAGGCGCTTCCAGCCATTACCGTATTTCCCGGTAGAGATCCCATATTTCATTAGGTTCTTCTTAGTTAACTGATACTTTCTGATGTTTTTGTCAATGGTGTCTTTTTTTTTTTTTTTTTGAGGCGGAGTCTCGCTCTGTCGCCCAGGCTGGAGTGCAGGGGCGCGATCTCAGCCCAGTGCAAGCTCCACCCCCCCGGGTTCACGCCATTCTCCTGCCTCCACCTCCCGAGTAGCTGGGACTACAGGCGCCCACCACCACGCCCGGCTGTTTTTGTATTTTTAGTAGAGACGCGGTTTCACCGTGTTAGCCAGGATGGTCTCGATCTCCTGACTTCATGATCTGCCCGCCTCGGCCTCCCAAAGTGCTGGGATTACAGGCGTGAGCCACCGCGCCCAGACAATGGGGTCTTTTTAAAACTTCATTTTTAATTGTTTAGGACTAGTTGGTGGTTTTTCTAAACTCCCCTTCCATCTGGTGACCTCGGTGAACCCTGACGGTCCACCTGCAGATCCACTTGGGCAGCTTATGTGGGAAATGTCCTTCCTTCCCGCGTCCTGTCCTCCCAGGGTGGGCAGGCAGCTGTCTTGGCCCTGACTTGAGGTCCCCACGCCCCCTCCGAGGGTGAAGCTGTGGAAGTTCCAGGTGGCTCCTTCCAGACCACGGAGGAGCCCTTTGCTGATATCACTCTTTGTTGCTTCTCTCCTTTCCATCAGCCTTGGCAGAGGTTAGGAATGCCGTTAGCCTTTTCAAAGAATGAACTTCGCATTTTTGGACTTTCTTGATCCTTGCTATTTTTATATACATAAACCATACATAATTTCTCTTCACTCATTTTTGATCTTTAATATTTCTTCCCAACTATTTTCATCAAATAAATGTTTGTTGTTCTCTAACAATAAATGCTGTTTGTTTTTTAGCATCTTAGGCTGATGTGTGGAAACAGGTACTATTTAAAGCTGTAATTGTGTCAATGGAGATGACAAAACCCGTTCTCCCTCCAGGTGGGACCTTAGACGGCCTTGAGCAAACCTTCTCCTGTGACTGTTCCCCTGGATCCCTGACCGGGGTGGAGACAACCTCACTCTTGGAGGCCGTGCCCTGTAACCCAGAAGCCTCTGAGCAGGTGGCTCCACACCCCCAGGGCACCCCCAAGGCACCCCCATCCCACAGGTGCAGTCCCTGGGGTTGGAGGTCATGGCTGCTGTCAGGACCCATGCTTCCTCCTGGGCTGGGTCCTTCTGCAGAGGGAGGTGACCGGTTGTGGAGGCCCCTGAGGCTGCAGTGTGAGGACTAAGGATGCCCCGGACGCATCTAAGCGCCAGGGGTTCCTCACTTCCACCTGCTTCTCCTTGACTCATGAGCCTCCTGGAAGGGCACTGCCCTGTGGGCATTTCCCACTTGCTTCTGCTGCACTCGTGAGATCACAGTTCTGGAAGCCAGGCCTGCATTCAGCCTAGCCTGGGCCCCTCGGGGGCAGACCCTGGTCCCAGTGCTGGGGGCGCGACCTGGAGACGGTTGCAGGTGACGCCTGTCAGACCTGCTGTTCAGATCTCCCTGGGCTGAAAGTCCCCCTATAATGATCGATTTGTGTTTTTCTTTTTCACTTTGCCAACTTTTTACTTGTCATATCTTGAGGGCTATCTCATTAGATGCACAGAAATGTAGAATTACTGAATTTCTCTGGTAGACTTGCTCCGTTGTCTCAATGAACATTTATTTTTGACCATGTTTCTTACTCCAGGATACACTTTGCACACACACACACACCAAACCACACCCCCACACGACACACACCCTCCCCACACACGCCAAACCACACTCCATGACACACCCAGCACCCACATACCCACACTCCACACACCCCCACACTACACACCCAACAACCACATACACTCCACACACACCCTCACACCACACTCAGCACACCCACATATACACACCCCACACACCACTACACACTCAGCACACCCATATACACACTCCACACACCCACTACACAGCACACCCACATATGCATACTCCACACTTCACACACACCCACACCTGCACCCTACACACCCAGCACACACACATACACACACTCCACACACACCCAAACCCACACCAGCCTCTGGGTGCCTTGACGTCTCCAGCCCTCGCGTTCAGGGACCGTCTCTAGTAAGGAGCATACGGTTTTGCTGTATGCCTGTCCTTCAGTGGATGTATCTACTCCAGTCACACTTATAGCACCTGCAGATGTATCGGAGCCTAAATCTACTGTTTTATTCCCTAGTTTCTGTTCATCCCACCTGTTCTGCATTCCGTTTTCTCTCCTGTTTTGCCTTCTTTTGGATCCACTCTGTGCGTTTTAAACCTCCTGTATGTGTGCCATCCTGCCTGCCCTCCTGCCTCTCCACCGGTGTCAGCTCTGCATCCCTCTCCAACCTCACCGTCCAACAGAGTGAGGACCACCGCCACTCCTCAGGGTGCTGAGACCACGGCAACCTGTAATTGCACTGTCGCTGGGACCCTGTGCCGTGCAGCCTTCGCCAGTTCCTGCAGGAGCCTC